GTGAAATTAAGGTCATTATGGGCCTAGAATTGAGGTCATATGACCATTATGGTGCACGGACCATAATTGGGAATATCTTCAATTCTACCATTACTGTAACTTAGATCCTTAGTTTAACCTACATCTAATAATACTACTACTTCCAAACAACTCAGTTTGAACATATTATTATATTATTATATTATTATATTATTATATTATTATATTATTATATTATTATATTATTATATTATTATATTATTATATTATTATATTATTATATTATTATATTATTATATTATTATATTATTATATTATCATTTCATCATTTGTCTCTCTCCAACAGCAACGTGGACGGGCAGTACATTCAGTACGGATTACATTGTGGAGTACTAGTACCTTAAACCCGAAAGTTCGATAACAAAACCCGATAAGGAGAGCGGTCTGGATGTTTGACGGAGAACTTTCAAGTGCGAGTACGGTACATCTGTGTAGAAGTTCGTCGATACAACTTGTAAGATTAAGATGTTGTAAACTTATATATCCACAGTAACAGAAATATCCAGATTCTACTCATGTTATCATGAGATTGTATCTTGATGAGTAACCTATAGTACTCCTTCTTGAACTTGTCAATCAAATCTTTTGAAGGTCCCCAACATCAGCCTCACCTTATTCTGTGGCTGATGGATGAGCCAATTCAAGATTAGCTTATCAGACCGTAGCCTTGTCAAGCCTTGTCAAGCCACATCAACAATCCGTGTACCCACTCTTGGAACCTCATCGCATTTACTACTACCGTCTACCTATAGATATTTCCAAAGTCATCAACATCACAACCACTTTAATCCTTCTTATTAATTTAATAAATAATTTCATCAAAGAATTCATCACATTCAATCAACCATCACATCACTTTACTCAAATAACAAATCCCAATCTTGTCATCTTTGATTGTTAATCAACTGTGGCGCAAAGTCAATCCTCACAACCACCTTGACAATGGGTATCATTCGCAAGAAGACGGCCATGAGGGGAGGTGAGGGTGGTGTTAAATATGTCTGTGATGTTTGCTCCGCAGATATTACTAATACCGTAGGTATTTTCATTTACATCCAATCTACCACCCTGCGAAATTGTCCTAATATCTAACTCATTTCCAATCACAGGTCCGAATTCGATGCGCCCACTCCGCTTGCAATGAATATGACCTATGTGTGCAATGTTTCTCAGATGGAAAGTCTTCCTCACAACATCAACCGGCTACTCATCCATTTCGAGTCATTGAACAAAACTCCGTTCCAATTTATACAAAAGATTGGGGGGCAGATGAGGAGTTATTGTTATTGGAAGGCTGCGAGATTTATGGATTAGGATCTTGGGCAGATATTGCAGATCACATTGGAGGATTCCGAAGTAAAGATGAGGTTAAAGAACATTACAAGAGGGTTTATCTGGATAGTCCAAAATTCCCATTACCAAAACGAGCCAGTCCACATGATACCGAATTGATGGATGCATTACCGCGAGAAGAATTTCAAGCTCAAAAAAAGAGAAGAATAGAGGAACGAAAAGAGGCAGCTAAAAATGCACCTCCTCCACAACCCAAAAAGAAACCCACAGCCAGTGTACCATCATGTCATGAAATTCAAGGTTATATGCCTGGTCGTTTGGAATTCGAAACCGAATATGCGAATGAAGCAGAAGAGGCTGTTCAACTTATGTCATTCGAACCTGGTGATGGAACTAATCCTATCACAGGAAAGTTAGAACCGGAATTCGAACTCAAAATGACAGTAATGAACATATATAATCAGCGATTGACTCAAAGAGCCGATCGTAAAAAAGTCATATTTGAACATAACCTTCTGGAATATCGGAAAGCAGTTGCTCTTGACAAAAAGCGCACCAAAGAAGAGAGGGATCTTCTTACCCGTGCAAAACCTTTTGCAAGAATGATGAATCATGATGACTTTGAGGAATTTTCAAAAGGTCTCATTGATGAGTTAAATTTACGACTAGCAGTTCAACAGTTACAGGAGTGGAGACAAATGAAGATAGGAGATCTCAAAAGTGGAGAGAAATATGAGCAAGAGAAGCAACAGAGACTTCAAAGAGCACAACCTATGGGTAGCATGGATCGTGAACGATATGCGACAAGTGCAAAGAACAAACCTCCTCCTGTTATTGAAACTCCAAGTGGTGCGGCTGCATTAGTTGCTCATGATTTACCGGATTCCATCCTTAAATGCGAATCAAACGATGATAAAGAAAATCTTCTGAATGGTACT